TGAAGCCGCTGCCCGCCGACAAGCAGATCGAGACCGGGCCCTTCCTCGAGGCGGTATCCCACCTGCCGCCCTTCTTTGGTGAGTCGGGGCGAAGGGGGGAGCTGACCTGCACACTGTCCTGGAGCGCTCCTGGAATCCTCCCGAGCATTCTCAAATTATCCCGCGCCAGGACGCCGCACATTTCTCCAGGCACCCAAGAGCCCCTTTTCTCCAAGCACCCTCAATTCTCCCTACCCCAGAGCACTCCCACATTCTCTCTGCCCTGGGCGGGTCGCATCCTCCTTGCGTATCCCCAAATCCTGCATCTCACCGGACACCTCACATTCCTCCTTGTTCCTCGTGGCCTCCAATCCTCCATTCCCTCTTGCTCAGTCGTCCTTCTCCAAATTCCTCCTACTCTTGCATCTCCTCCTTCAACACATCCTTCCTCTTCTCCCCCGAAGTCCTTCATCCCTACTGCCATCATTCCCTGCTTCCCTTTTGGAATAATTCTCACTCCTGCCATTTCAAAACCCTTCTCTTTTCCTTAAATTCTGGCCTCTTCCTCATGGGACCTTTGGACGCTTCTCCCCTCAGAATTCCTCCGTTCTGGATGGGAGACACCCCTCCACATATTCCTCTAAGGGCAGGAAGCCTTGGGGGCGGCCAGGCAGGGGTGGAGGTTTGATGATGGAATTGGAAAGCCCCAGGGCCCCTTTTAGGGGAAACCACCCAAAGTTTTTCCTCCAGGGAAAAACAGGGGTCAGGGTAGGGGGCGTGTGCTTTGTGGGGTGACATCAGACAGGATGCTTGGTAAGAATCCCCCCTACTCCGAAAGAGGAAGACACCTCCCCAACCCACTGTATGTCGTGGTGGAAAGGTCATGGGAGCTCCAGGAAAATGATTCCTAAGCCAGTTTCAGATTCTCTTTTCTCCTCTCCCTCCTCCAGCCTAGCCCAGCCTGGGCCCTGGATGGAAAATGGGAAATAGAAGCCAGTGCCATCTGCCCCGCCCTTCGCCTTTCCGGGCGTAGGTGAAGGGTGCAACCGGAGCCTAGCTTTCTTCTCTGTGCAACTCTCCCGGTTCCGTGCCCCTGCCCAGCTGGCTTACTTGTGCCCTTACAGGAAGATACCAGCCCTCAGGGCAGAGTCCAGCTGAAACCTGAAGACAGGCAGAACTTTCAGCAGTGGTTCTGTTGCTGAACTCTCATTGGCTGCAGTTTGAGTCCCAGACTCGGCAGCTTAAAACTCATGCCAGGTGTATGTGCATGCATTCCCAGGATTCTGAGAGGAGACTGGAGGAGAGGGGATTGTGGTGTGGCCATCCCCCCTTGGAGGGATTTCTTACTTTCTGTCTCTGTTTCTCTGGTGAGTGCAAGTGTCCTATAGTAAAAATCTCTCTCTCTTAAAAAAAAAAAACAAAACAAAAACAACTGCCTTGGATTGAAGAGATCTGGCATCTAGGAGGACTGGCACTCCGTTTTCCCCGTGATGGGGGACCAGGCTCGCTGGCAGTGATTCCTGCGGCGCTGTGAGCTCTGGGGTGGTGCGGTGGTCTGCATTCCACAGTTCTCCTCCTCTTGAGCCTTGGCCTTCCTGGCTGTGAAATGGGGCCGTTGACCTCCTAGGCTGGCTGTGAGGAGTCAACCAGCTGGTGTGTGTGAAGCACCGAGGTCGTGAGTGCCGAGCAGGTCTGCTGGGGCAGGGCCATGGTTCCGAGTGGCTGCGTATACCTGGATCCCTCCTAGGTTTCTCCCTTTAGAAGGGGATCCACCAGTGCTTGAGTGCAGGTGCCTGGTCTTCTGATTCCCAGGCCTGTGTGAGCAACACCCGCCCAGGGACAAGGTCTCCGTCTTTCACATCCACTGCTGCGTCCCCGGTGCCAGGTCCGTGCCAGCACATAGTAGGTGCCAAGTTTTCTTTTTTTTTTTCTTTTGTAAGATGACATTTATATGACATAGAATGGAACAATGAGTTCTTAAAATATAATTGACAAGTCATACAAAAAAGACAAGCTAGGGACCCGCAGTTAGCGTAATGGCTATGTCACTGGATTCCCATGTAGTCGACCGCGGTTCGCGTCCCGGACCCAGTGGCTTAAAACTCACGCTGGGCACATGTGCGTGTGTGCCCAAGATCCCGAGAGGAGAATGGAGGAGAAGGGATTGCAGCGTGGCCATTCCCCCTGGGAGGTGACTTCTCACTTTCTGTCTCTCTGTCTCTCTCTCTCTAGTGAGCGCACGTGCCCTATAGCAAAAGAAAGACAAGCTAATAAGCATACATTTTTCACTTTGGGGACTTCCTTACACTCCCTCTGTTGTAGTAATAGAAGTATTGTCCCTGCTCTGAAGTTTCTTCACATATCCTGTGTCGGACCAACGCTCTACCACAGAAACTTGTTTCACCTGTTTATGTTCAATTTCATCACAATATCCTGCTTGTTGAAATCGGTACACATTCTCTCTCTTCTGACCATTTTTTGGCAGGACTTATTGAATTTGGTTTCACATCAGAACTAGCCATGGCTATAGAGGCCTGACTACCAATTATTTCCTCACTTGGCAAGCGGGGGAGCCTGGGGGCGCCCCACCCAGAGCTCGCAGGCAGGAGCGGAGCTGGGGCTAAGTTTTCTTTTGATTAGTGTACTAAGGTTTCATATGATTAGTGTCACGGTCTCAAGGTGGTATTGAATCTCCACGCAGGGGCTTGGGAACTAGTTGCCTTTTTTAAAAAAAAAATTTAATTCCATTTTTCGTTATTTTTTTAATTTGACCAGAGGGAGAGAAAGGGAGAATGAGAAAGCAAGCTGCCAGGTCTGGGACTCGATCTGCAGTTGGCCGTGTGGGAGTCCAGCCCCTTAACCACTGCACCACCTGCTGGGCTGCCTTTTTCTTTTTTTTTTAAAGAAATTTTTTAAAAATTTTATTTATTGTTATTATTATTAACTTACTGTAGGGTACATGTGCTCACGAGAGAGAGAAAGTGAGAAAGCAAGCCACCAGATCTGGAACTCAAACTGTGGTTGGCCATGTAGGAGTCCAGCACCTTAACCACCATGCCACCTGCTGGTCCCTGCTTCTTTTTGTTGTTTACTGTTTTGTTTTTTTTTTTTTAATATTTTATTTAACTTTATTTCTTTTAATTTGACCATAGAGGGACAGAGTAAGGAAACAAGCTGCCAGGTCCAGTACTTGAACCGCAGTCAGCCATATGGGAGTCCAGTGCCCTTAACCACCACACTACCTGCCGGCCCCCTGTTTAATGTTTTTTTCTTTTTTCCTTTAAAGGTTTTTTTCCCCATGGGGTGTATGCACTCCCAGCAGGGGGATGGCTGCACCATAATCTCTTCTCTATTTCCCTTCTTGGATTTTGGGGATGCCTGCGCATGCACCTGGCATGATTTTCAAGCTGCCGGGTCCGGGACTCAAATTGTGGTTGGTCATGTGGGAGTCTAGCACCTTAGCCACCTGCTGGTCCCTGGAACTAATTGGTGTGAGTATGGAAGACTTAACTATTTGTGTGACCATTTTGTTTTGTTGGTTTCTTGCTTCTTTGGTTCTAGGGATCATCATGATTCAGGGCCAGCTTGTCCAGGACAGGGATTTGGAATCGGTTTAAGCCAGTGGTTCCCAGCGGAGGGCAGTGCTGCCCCTGTGGAGGCATTTGGCAATGTCGGAGGATGTCTCTGTTCCTCACAACTTGGGGAGGGAGGTACTCCTGGTGTCTCGCGTGTAGAGGTCAGGGATACTGGTCGACATCCCGAAGTGCACAGGGACGCCCCACACCACGTGGTGACCCAGCCCCAGGGCCGGCGGTGCCAAGGCAGAGAAAGCCTTCCCTTCAGCAGGGCTGCGTGCCCCTTGTGCATTGGGAGGCACCTCCATTTGATGTAATCTGGCTGCTTTCAGAGGAGAGGGGGAGGTGGCAGCGGGAGCCTCAGTGATCTGGTGCCAGGACTAAAGAGCATCTCCACCTCCCTCTTCCTGGTCTCAAAGGACCCCTGTGTCTGCTGGGATCTCTGCCATGGGGTGTCAGATCTATTGACAGAAGCACAGTTTATGCAGAAGCCTCAGTGGGGTGAGCCCACAAAGGGTAAACCGTCACTGGGCATTCTGCCCATGAGGGCTTTTAATGTTCATCACAGGGGATGATTCTTAGCACTTAAAAAAAAGTTCCTGGGCCAGCCCTGTGGCCTAGTAATTAAAGGAGCCAGACCCTACATGACCAATTGGATGATCAAATCCAAGCTCCTGCGGCTTAAAAAAAATGCAGGGTGGGTGTGTGCATGCCCCAAATCCCTACAGGATGGAGACATAGAGGAAGATGAGTTACAATGTGACCGTGCTCCATGGGGGAGATGGGGCTTGCTTTTTTTTTTTTTTTTTAAGTTTTTGAACTGGATTTCTTTCTTTTTTCTTTTCTTTCTTTTTTAAAAGAATTATTTATTTAATTCCATTTGTTGTTGTTATTATTTTAATTTAACCACATAGAGACAGAGAGAAGAGAAAGTGAGAAAGCAAGCCACCAGGTCTAGGACTCTAACCATGGCTGATCATGTGGGGGTGTCCAGCACCTTTATCACCATGCCACCTGCTGGCCCCCCCTTTTTAAAATTTATTTAAAGAATTATTTGTTTAATTTTATTTATTATTATTATTAATTTAATTCATTATAGGGCATGGACACTCACCAGAGAGAGAGAGAGAGAGATAAAGAAAACAAGCCACCAGGTCCTGGTCCAGGTCAAGCTCCTTGTTAGTGATTGAGCACCTACTATGTGCTGGGTGATTTGCATAGTTTAGTTCAATTAATCCTCTCATCATCTTTTGAGATTTTTTTTTAGAATTATTTATTTTATTTTATTTATTGTTGTTATTATTTTAAAATTTGTTATAGGCACACGTGCTCACCAGAAAGCAAGAGAGAGGGAAAGTGAGAAAGCAAACTGCCAGGTCTGGGACTTGAACCATGTTACCCATGTGGGATTCCAGCGCCTTTACCATCATACCACTGCTGGCCTGAGGGTGGGGGTGCTTCCTTCCACATGTGCCCTCTGGCAATTAAAAACAAAGTGACAATTCCTTGGGAACCACTGTGCTC